TCTCACAGTGAGGGACTGAAGCCCAGTCAGGAAGGCTCTTGCTGGTTGGTGGCAGAGCTGGATTCAGCCTTGTCCTTTTGGCACTGGCAGCCGGAGGCCTGCTCTCCCCTGAGCACACAGGCCTTTGTTACCATTGTGAGGTAAATGCCAGCCTGCCCTCCCTATTCCTGGGGCTTGGGACTTGGCCCTGATCTCTTAAACTGCCTGGCCCCCATCCTGAGCATATTCTTCCTCCACTGGTGCCTTCTTCTGCCTTCTTTCAGGAGGACCTATCAGTTGGCTTGTGCCAAGACTGAGATTAAGGAAGCTGTTGGCTGAGTCAGAGGTGAGGGGAGGGTCCTGGGAGGGYAGAAGCTGGAATCATGCTTGAGGATTAGTGGGGCTAGAACTTGAGAGACCCTGAGCTCCTAAGCTCTTGGGAGTGTCTCCCAACACCATCTGACTTTAAAATTCATGTTCCCACTTAAACATGCATGCCCATGGTTAAATAAGGAATGGTTTTAAGTAAAGAGTTTATAATAAGAAGCACTTCTCTACCCAAAATTTCTCTTTCTGGGGCTATTCATTTTTTTTTTAAATCAGTGGTTCATTTTAGCTATTCAGTACTTCATCTCTCTGCCCAATAACCTTATAGTTACGCTTATTAATTTATCAACATTACACAAGATGAAAATGTACACCCTACTCCACCTCTCAATATAAATATTTCATTGCTTTAGAGCTTTATTGATTGCTTCTGTAACTTTAAAATTATGTTAAACATAAGGCCAAATTTCGTAGAAATTATTAGTATTTGTGTTAGTTTTCTATTCCCATTATAACAAATGACCCCAAATGTAGTGGAATAAAACAACATGAATTTATTTCCTTACGGTTCTGGAGGTCAGAAGTCCTAAAATCAAGGTGTTGGCCGGGCCTCGCTCTTTGCGGAGGCTCCAGGGTAAAATCCTTGATCCCTTGGCCTCCAGAGGCCTCCTGCTTTCTTTTGACTCATGGCTCCTTCCTCTGTGTTTAAAGCCATGGGATAGCATCTTCTCTCCTTTCTGAACTTCCCTCCCTGCTTTTATAAAAAACCTGTGAACATAATAATAAGCTCACCCATGCAATCCAGGATAATCTCCTCACCTCAAGTTCCTTAATTGAATCACATCTGCTAAGCCCCTTTTCCCACTGGAGATAGGGTATCCAAAGGTTCTGGGATTGGGCCATCAAGGGATTAGTGAACATCTWTGGGGGCCATTAGTCTTCTTTCTACACCTTACAACCCAGTTTACCTGGGACACTTCCATTATATTCCTATTGTTCTGTAAAAATCATAATATGACCCCTTTCGTTCTCAAAATCGTCTCCATTTGAATAAAAAATTGTATGAGTACACTACCTATCCCCTGTTTCCCAATCTTTTCCACATCATAATGTGTAGAAAATGATAACAGTTTGAAGGTCCTTGGGAAAAAAGACCACTTAAGGCGCTCATGACAAGCAATAATAGTCTCAGGGGCTCCAGCTACCTTAGATCCTCTTGGCTACCCCAAGGGGCCAGGGTATCCATATCAGTGGCCTCCTGACCCATMCTGGTACCCCATTGGCTATCATGCATCACTGGAGAAATCATCTTTATGTTAACACAATAAGATGTGTTTAAATTCTGTTCTTTATCATGGGTGAGCGGTACATGGTTCCAAGGAGAGGCTTGAATCTGGCTGTCACRTTTGTACTTTGATGCTCTTGTCCTTGTGACCCTGCCCGCGGGTTGTCAAATGAGTGTTCTCTTTGGCATCATCTTTACATTATCCCTCCAGGTCTGTGTCCCTGGGGAATCTGCCATTCTTCTGCCCTCTCTCAGGCATCAGAGCATTGGCATTGGTGGCAGAGGAGTCCCATTTAACCATTGAATGGATGGAATCTTAAGTAGCTTGCAACATTTTCTCCTGGGATCTCAAGAGTACCTATGTCTATGGCCTTTGTAACATTTTTTTCTTTATATCTTGTTTGCCACATACTATTGGTAAAATATTTTTATCATCTTACCTCATTTCAAATCATCAAAAAAAGTCACCATAAGAGTCAAAATAATGTTTTGGAGGCGGAGGCACAGGTCAGCCATGCTGACCCAGCTCCAGCTGTTTTGATGTTGGTTGCCTTGGTAGCTTCTTGCTTGCAGAGCTGCTTTTCAGTCTTCAATTCCTTTGCTCATTTGCTTTACAAAATACTCTCTCCTACGTCACTAGTATGTAATTTCCTGGTGGTGTCTGGTCTTCTCTATAACATAGCAATTTAATCTTTTCTTACTTCCATTAAGATTTTTTTCAAATTCACTTTTCATCATGTGGACCACTTAATGATTTCTTGAATTATGTCTCTATAGTTTATCAACTATTTTAAATTATAACAATGATGAATGTTTACACTATAGCAAATAATTACCCAAACCACCCACAGAAATTCCATAAGTATGAACAATAGCATTTGCTCTCCAGATACTGACAAAAGGGTATGGGTCTTTCTGTGACCCAAAGTGGCTGCTTTATGTCACTAGCAGAGTAGCACTGTTTACTATACAGCAGGCAATATTCATTYGTGGCCTCCAGTCTGGGAGGACCCTGCTTTGGTAAAGGGAGTACAGGAAGGGTCACCAACCATATCTGCTACATAGTAGCTCATAGGGCTGGCATGACAGATCAGTTAATAACCAAGAAGACTTGGTGTGGATCCTAAAACCTTGTAAGACACAAAACCTTAGAACTTCAGAGCAGGAAGCAGCTTTAGAGGGCAGTGCTCCCAGCAGGGTGGGATGGAACAGGGGTGCCATCAGTCACAGAATGTACTGGAAGATGGGGTAAGGACCCAAGGGGTCTTTAAAATAGAGGCAAAGAGGGAGAAGGGACACGGAGCAGGGTTCATATGACATCTGAGGACCCACTACCCTTGAGGGTTGGATGGGTGGGRTGGTAAGAACAGAGACTAAATCCCTCACTGTTAAGTACAAAAAGATTAATTATCTGTATATCTCTCTAACATATCCTTGGGGATATGCATTTAACATTTAGGTGCCAAATTTTAAATTTGTCAACAAACCAGAGAGGGAAGCAGGATCAAGTAGGGTTTTCAACCTCACTTTCCAAGAGAGGAAACCGAAAGGAAATCAAAAGGTTTGTCCAGGCCACCCAGCCAGGAAGTGATGGAGAAAGGCCTTCTAGTTACCCTCTACCACACACCCGCAGGTACTGGACTAATACATAGCCTGTGGGTCCATGGCTGAAGGAGGAGCCCTTAGGGCAGGGGCTATTAGAATCCAGAGCAATCAGAATCTCCTTGTTAATGCAGATTGCAAGCTGCACTCCTGGGGGTTCTGATGTGGTAGGTATGGAATGTGGCTCTGGAATTTGTATTTCTAAAATGCCCAGGTGATGCTGATTCTGTTGATCTGGAGCCCAACTCTGAGATGACTCTTTACCACAGCAGGTGTACCGTAAGGCAGCTTCCAATAGTAGAGCTACAGCAGGAGATTGTTTTTAACATGCATCAAGGCCTCTAAGAGTACCTATTAAAGTCTCCTGTTAGYCATCTTGTTAATGAAAGTGAAGGAGATACAGGTGAGAAGTAGCATTGGGTGAGACCAGATAATTGATTTTGCATTTTTTTCTTGTATATTTTTCCAGTTTATGTCTATACAAACAATAAAATATATCCCCTCAGTTTTATACTAAAAGTTGTATCACTGTTCTCTTCATTTGGTCTGAAGCACTAGTCCAGTATTTTCTTATTAATTTTCTGTTTGATGGTTCTATTCATTGATAAAAATTGGTTATTGGAGTCTCTACGATAATTATATTGCAGACAATTTATCCCTTTGTGTCCATGGATATTTGCTGTATGTATTTAGGTGCTGCCATATTAGGTACAATTACATATGTGTGTGTCTATATACATATACATATATAGACACACACATATATATAATTGTTATACATGTATTATGTACGTGTATAATATATAATTGTAATGACTTYTTGATGAATTGTTCACTTTATAATGAAATAATAATTTTGTGTCTTGTGAATTAAAGACTGTTGGTGACATAGTTAAAAAAAGGATTTTTGGTTGTAGATGGACCAATACCTTTATTCTATTTCTTTATTTTTTATGTGGTGCTGAGGATCCAACCCAGTGTCTCCTACATACTAGGCAAGCGCTCTACCACTGAACCACAACTACAGCCCATTGTGACAAAAATTTTAAAGGAAAAATGTGCAAAGAGGAAAGAGGAGAAGCCTATATAATCTATAMATCTTAAGCATACTGAAATGTTGCATTTTATTTATTTATTCATACATACATACATACATAAGAGGGATTGAATTTAGGGGCACTTGACCRCCGAGCCACATTCCCAGTTCTAATGTGGGAATTTATTTAGAGAAAGGATCTCACTGAGTTGCTTGGCACCTTGCTAAATTGCTGAGGCTGACTTGGAACTCGTGATCCTCTTGCCTCAGCCCCTGGAGCTGTGTGCCATCCCGCCAGGCCAACCGATTTTTAAATTAAACATTTTAAAATATATTGAAAGATAGTGTTGGCCTACCCCACAGTCTCATTTCAATAGCAATCACAGATGAGGGTTTGTTTCTTATAACAGGATGAGATGGTTTTGTTTTTTTTTTAAAGATGTGTATTCCTTACTATAAAAGCAATACATGCTYATTGAGATGTGTTACAGACAAGATAGAAAGTCTAAAATTGGAACTATTGCACAACTCTACAACAGTGTTCTTTCGCTCCCCTCTAGATCAATGTCCCTCTTAGGCCCACTCCTAGTCCCACCCCTCCAGCTCAAGGAACGCGGTCGTTCTTGCAGTTGCAGAAATAGGTCATCAGGTGGTGCTGCTGAGCAGACTCTGGAGCACAGAACAGGGGCCGAGCCCGGTGTCACGTGACCTGAGCCTGGGGCTCTGGCACCTACATCACGTGACAGGGCCCGGAAGCAGCTGCCGGGGCTGCCGAAAAGGATGGCTAGGGCTCCACGCTGAGGCAAAGAAGGGTGGGCTGTGCCGAAGCTGGAGCCCGAGCCGGAGCCGGAGCTGGAGCTGGGGCCTGAGCCGGATTCGAAGCGGTGAGTGCCTGCGCTGACCTGCTCTTTCTGGCTGCTGTCACTGCTTTCCGCAGGGCCCATCTTGCCTTCCTGCGGTCCGGCTTAGCAGATGCTCTAGGTCAGGGGCTGGAACCGCCCGGGCTGTGGGTCCGAGGCTCCTGGCCCCCCGCGGCGGTGTGATGCGGGTAGCCCTCCCGCATGAGGCGGAGTGGCCACCCCTTGTTCCTCGCGCTCTCTCCCTGGACCTCGCGGGGCTGGGGTCTCCGCCCTATATGACAGGTGGAACCGAAGTCCGGAGATGGGAAAGGTTACTCAAACGACCCTCCCGGGCTTCTGGCTGCTGGCTTTGTCCATGCTTCCCAAAGCGGTGTGGTATCTGGGGCGAGTCTCCCTCGCGGTGTCCCGGACTTGCTGATAATGTGGCTTTGGGTCACACAGTACCAGAACTGCAAGACCTAGGGAAATCATCTAGTGCAACCCCCCTCCTCGGACCTAGGAAAACCGAGCCCCAGGAAGGAGTAGGGGCTTGCTTAAGGTCACCCAGTGAGTTAGTCCCAGACCTGCCACTAGACTCCAAGTGTCCCTGAGCTCCAGCAGCTGTGGACTTCCACTACACCGCCTCCTGCGGGAAACGGTGTGTGAAAAGACACCCTTTCCACTTTCTTTCTCCTTTAGTCCTCTGCTTGTTTAGCTCTGCATTCTCCATCGCTAGGGTTGGATTGGCTCTGGGCGTGGTTCCGTTTGTTCACGGTTTTTCTGCAAACTCATCACTGTGTAGGCTTGGTTTCCAACCATCCTGCAAATTTCATGTAAGTCATATCAAAATAAGAATCGGAGTATGCCCCCTGGGAGAATACTCGGCTCAGGTGAGGCAGAGGAGATTCCTGGTATTAATTTGAAGAATAGAATCACCTGTGCTTTATTTTTCTGTAACTTGTCAGATTTGGGGAAGACGCTATCTGAATGGATGTTTGCTGTTATTTGGGGCTTGTTGAAATATGATAGCAGAATCATGTACTGAAAAGAACTGAGATAGGAGAATCAGGAAATTTTGTTTTAGCTCTGCCACTTAAACTCTGCCACCTTAGGTGACAACCATCTCTCCTGGGTTTAGGTTTCTCAGTCTGTGTGATGATCGGGTTTAATCCCTAAGGGTCTCTTCTGCTCTAACATTCGTTGCATCTAGGTCTGTTTGTTTTTTACTCAGAGATATTTTTCCCCCCTCTATGCTTCAAGCATTATCTTTCAACAAGACTTAATCCAGTTGTCCAGGCAACAGTTTCCTGTACTGATTTCTACATTACCATGAAATTCTTCTCTATTTTCCTGTCTCTGTATTGTCTAGGCTAAATGATGATGGCTGAAAAATGATTTTAACTGTCTTGCTCCTGATCAGAGCCCTCTCTTGACTCTTGTCTAGAGCCTTATTTACAGTAATTAACTTGTATGTACAAGAACAGTTTTCTTTATGGGTTTTCTGGAGGTCAACAAGAGGCTCCTTCCTGCATTGGGGGTTTGAGGTTGTTTGTCTAGRGGTGGAGGCTGTAGGCAGCAGAGACTGCTCTGGTGACAGTAGTCAGTTGCAGCCCTCCCCACTCCCCTTTTTTGTTCTTTATAATTGGCTGCTCTTGAGTCCTTATTTTCTCCTTAAGCCAGGTAGCCTCATCTCCATGGCAGCTTCAGATGCTCTGAGCTGTCTGTGTCTGTTCCCAAGGCTGTGTAAGGAAGAGGCATTCTATTTGTTTTGTGATATTCCAGAATCTACAGTTAGGACCAGTTGATGGAATTGCCCAAAGAAGTAGTTTTGGGGTGAGCATGAAAACTTTCAAAGAATTAGTTCCTTCATTGGAACACAGAGTATGGAGTTCCTTGTCACTGAAGGTAATTCCCACTGGCAATTACCCAGGGGTTTGTTGTGTATAAAATTACTGTGTTGGGTGGAGGATTGACCTGGATGTACTTTGAAGTTTTCTCGAAACCAACTCCAATGAAGGTTCCAGTTCTTTAAATGCTTCACATCTCCTTCACATCAGAAGCTAAGGAATTATTGCTGGTTATTATAATTTATTCTTTCCCCCAATCTTGCTGAATGAATGGTCTTCTGTTTCTGCTTTTGCTGGGTTGGTGCTAATAACCCATTCCAGAAGGTTATTACTGATTAATACCACTAATACCTGGAGCAGCTCTTCTTTTTCTCACAGAGGAGAACCATTGAGTCCATTTACCTCAACGCAGGCCTGGAGTGGTCCTGCACCTCCCTCCTTTGGCCAGAGCTTGCTGGATTAAGCACACACACACAAAAGTGATCCACTGTTCAATAGGTGTGGACGTCAGTAGATGGGGCATTCAGAGTTTGCTAGAATAGACACCACATGAGGCTGTGTTTAATGTTGTCCCCTCTTCTAGCCCCAATACATTTCTCTTGGAAGCCTGGACACCCAGGGCCAGTGCATCAAAGACTTCTCTGTGTTTCCCATTTCTTTGAAGTCAGAAATCTAAGGTCCACATGACACTTGGATCTCTTKGATCTTTCTTCTCAGCTCTCTAGGGCATTAAATGAAGAAAATACCAGAGAGTTTCTATAGTGAGAGTTTCTATAGTTTCTTATTTCACATCCATGACTTTATATTATGACACTCTATATATGACTCTATRTGTATCTAATGTCTCTGTATTAATAATCACAAATGCTATCATTATAAGGGTCTCTTATGTGCCAGATAACTTAACCTAACATCTATGTATCTTCATAACAAATTCATGAGGTAGATGATATTAGCAATATCTTTCATATGAGGGAGTCAAGACAATAGATGATTTGAGTAATYTGGCTTGGAGTCTCTCAGACTCCAAACAGCACTTTTTTTAAACATGCAGAATGGCCCTGGCAGACTTAACCCTGCCCCTACTTCCAGGGGCAGTTTTGTTCTGGAGATTTTAGAAAGCGTAGATAATGKGTGGTATCTATGATGGAAAGAACATTGGCCTGGGACTCTGGTTTGCTGGATTTTAATCCCATATCTTTGGCCAGCTGGGGCCTCGGTGGAATAACCTCTCTGGGCCTTGGTTTTCTCACCTCTTAACTGGAAAGCTGGACTAGAGTCTTTTTTGAAGTCACGCATAGTTCTAATACTTAGTGATCTTTGTAATTATAGATAAAAAGTGGGCATGTTTGCCTGCTCAGCAGTGCATTCCGAGGTCAGCAACTGCCCTGTGGCTGCCCTAGCGTGAGACTTGTCCTCAATTCAAAATAATGGAAAGCACTTTTTAGTTTGCAGATATCATCAATGTGTGAACTCCTGTAGGAGGTGAGGTGTACCCATCATAAGAAGACCATAATTTTTTTTTTAGTGCTTTATTTAAATCTTACTGTAACCAGGATCACCTGGGAAGTTGGTTAAAAATAAAATGCTCAGGTGGATTCAGGTGTGGCCTAGAAATCTATGGGTTTTTTTCTTTTGCATTTTTTTCCTTTTTTTCCTTCTTTTTTTTTAAACATGTTTAACTCCTTCTATCCCAACGTATTATTATATCATATAATCAGTATAAAATTATGAATTCATGAAATATATCATAATTTTTGTACCAAATTTTTTAAATCCCTTGTCTGTGCATTTTCAGTTTTGACCAACTGTATTTCAAGTGCTTGGTAGCCACTTGTGACTAGTGCCTACTAAATTGGATAGTACAGGACACTTTGCTGGCCAGGTTATATTCTCCTGAACCCTGACACAGTTTTTGAATTAAAGAAAAAAAAAGAGACTTTTGTTTTTATATTAAAAATCACTACAAGCTGGGTATGGTGCTATATGCCTATAATCCCAGCAGCTTGGGAGGCCAAGGCAGGAGGATCACAAGTTCAAAGCCAGCTTCAGCATCTTARTGAGGCCCTCAGCAACTTCCTTAGTGAGGCAATTCAGAGAGACTCTGTCTCTAAGTAAAATATTTTCAAAAAGGCTGAAGATGTGCTCAGTGGTCTAGTGCGACTGGGTTCAATTCCTGGTACCAAAATAAGAAAAAAAAATCACTACAAAATTCTTCTTAAAAATCACCCTCTTCTAGAAATTCAGTGCTTTTTTTTTTTTAACAAAAAATCTATTTGCAAACACATCCTCCATACTTCATCCATTGTACAAAGTGATTCCAACTGCTCATATTTATGTGTGGAATAACATTAAAGACAGCATATTTTGTAGACTAAAGGGCAAGTCTTATTTACCGAATCAATTAAAAGAGTTTGTATAGGGAAAAAGAAGGAAATCTATCAAGGTTATACAAATAGTTGCTATTTCAATGCAATTTGGGTTGAATGTACTTTTCTGAAAAGTTTTCTTCTTGGGGTCTAGATATCTTATGGAGATTTTGATTTTGTGTTGATGGACCACACATAATATATAAACTGTTCATTTTATTCAAGAACCTGAAAGACGGGCTCTTCTTCAACTTTCACATATTACAAGCCTCATTTGGACAGGTAACAAGGTCCTATTAAAGTCTTCCAGAGGGCAGAAACTGGCAATTACTGCAATAGACTTGCATACCAGCCATCATCAAGGGGAGCCCAGGGGCAGGGTGGCCATGGAGATGGTGCTCAGTGGGCACAGCAAGAGGGCAGGAGGAGGAGGCCTTGGTTGCCAGAAGGAGCCATTGAAGGGGTGGATACCATCACTCTCTCTGATGCTTGGCTCCTATGTAACAGCTCTGAGAAATGTCTTCTCTACTTATTCCAGAAATGGGAAATTGCGTTCCCTCCAGCTGTTCATTTGGACCACTATCTTTAATAGAAGGTTTTTCCTTATGTCTAGCCAAAGATCTGCCATCCTTAATTTTCCACCTGTTGAATCTAGCTCTGATCTTTGAGGCTTCAAAGGATCAATCAAGCCAGGCATGGTAGCATAGGCCTATAATCCCAGCAGCTTGGGAGGCTGAGACAGGAAGATCACAAGTTCAAAGCCAGCTTCAGCAACTTAGTGAGGCCCTGAACAACTTAGCAAGACTCTGTCTCAAAATAATTAAAATAAAATAAAATAAAAAGGGCCAGGGATGTGGCTCAGTTAAACAACCACTGAGCACCTCTGGGTTCAGTACCCCGTACCAAAAAAAAAAAAAAAAAAAAAAAAATCAAATCTGTTTAACAGTCTTTAAAGACATGTTTGTGCCTCCTAACTTACCAGGTTGAATCTTCTTGGTGCTTCTAACTTTTCCTTTACCAGTTGGTTTCCAGCCCCCTCTTGACCTAGGCCCCGACCCTTGGATGAACCATAGTTTGTCATTATCCCCTTCATAGTCTGTAGCCTGCATCAGGATGTGGTGCATGCAAAGCTAACTGRTTCATCTACTTGGTTCTCTCCCTTCCTAATGTAACCTAGAATTGTATTTGCTTATTTGASGTCTGTTATTATATTATTTGACCTCTTTTGAGCTTATCATTAACCAAAGTCTATAAATAGCATTTTTTCTTTTTTCAGTATGTATGCAGAAACTAAGCCACATTTCCCACATCCTGCAATTGTTTACTGGACTTTAGTTCTTTAGGTTTCAGCTTCTTCTTAAGCTTTCTAAGCAACATTCTGATATAGGTAGCTTCAGGGTTTTGTTTTGTTTACCTTTTTTGGTACCGGTGATTGAACTCCGGAGCACTTAACTACTGAGCCTTATCCCAGCCCTTTTTAATTTTTTTTTTTTAAGACAGGGTCTTGTTTTGCTTAGGGCCTTTCTAAGTTTTCTGAGGCTAGCTTCGAACCCRTCATCATCCTGCCTTAACCTCCCAAGCCACTGGAATTACAGGCATGCACCATCATGCCCAGCTAGCTTCTGTTTTTGTATATGACATAAAGAAGACTCTTTACAATGTTTGAAATAATTCAAGCATCTGTACTAAGTAAGTATGCAACAAAGTGGTTTCTTGGTTGGTTAGAAGGGATTGGGGAACTTAGCACTCCCTGTGGTCTGTCCCTTTGCCCTCAGTATTGTACAGGATTTACTTGAAAGGTTCTGTTCCTCAGATGTTTATGGTGTGTTGGAAGAGACTAGAAATTAGCCATTGTTTTCATAAATGCAATCATTGGTATCTGGAATATTAGAAATGTGAAAGAGCTAAGAGATATTTCAGCTTACACTTCCACCCTGCTTTTGCATTTGGAAACTAAGATTCTAGAGAAAGAAAATTGTTAAAAATTGCAGAGCAAACAGGTGAGAGAGGCAGGCTTAGAACCCAGGTCTCTTGACATATGAGCTAACTTACCTAGCTTTTACCTGCATAACGAGAGGTTTTCAATTACTTGTGTTAAAGATTCTTTATAGATTCATCCCCTTCCTTAGCTGAGACTCTGATAATGGAACTGGACAGGGTCTTCCCTGGGATTAAGAGGCCTTGCTGTGACTTAAGTATGGTTTTCCCCACCAAAACTCATGTTGGGGAATGGTTGAGAGATGGTGTCTTTAAAAGGTACTTAGGTCATGGGGCTTCACCTTCATGGAAGGAGTAATGTAGTTTTCACAGGAGTGGGTTAGTTACTGTGACRATGGGTTGTTGAGAAGCAAGCTTGGCACCTCTCCTTGGTCTTTCTCTTGTGACCTCTCTACACACTGGTGGTTCATTTTTTCACCATGCATAAAGCAACTAGAGGTCCTTACTGAAGCTGAGCAGATGCTCTTGGACTTTAAGAACTGCAAACTCTTTTATCTATAAATTCCCAGACTCAGATATTTTTGTTATAGCAGCAGAAAATGGACTATAACAGCCCCTTTCCAGTTTTCTGTTAAGCATTTTCCTGGTAAGATTATATGTGGTCTTTTCCACATTAGGGTTCATGGGAGAAAATGAGATCTCCCCTGGATCACTCTTATGCTCAGGGCCAGTTTTCAAGAGTCCTCAGGTATTGGACCTGTTGTCGCCTGCAGAGAGCTGTCCTCTGGCAGGTGAGGTTGGATGTTGGAATGRATGGAGTGTTGTGATAGCCACTGGAGATTCTGCCTCATCACCAGGTTTCTGAGATAACATGTCAGGCTCAGCATGGTATGTAGCCATGGTATGTAGTCTGCCAACTGGTAAAGGATTKTTACTTGAAATTTTTCATGATAGTGTACCTTTTTTCCATATTTGATTGCAGATTCTTTTATTTATTTATTTGGTACTGGGGATTGAACTCAGGGGCACTCGACCACTGAGCCACATCCCCAGCCCTGTTTTGTATTTGATTTAGAGACAGAGTCTCACTGAGTTGCTTAGCACTTCGCTTTTGCTGAGGCTGGGTTTGAACTCKCAATACTCCTGCCTCAGCCTCTGGAACCACTGGGATTATAGGTGTGCACCACTTGCAGATTCTTGAAGGGCAGGAAGTTGGCTCTTTTTCTTTGTATACTCCCTCACAGCAGTGGGCACCGTATTCAGTAGACATTTCCAGATTCAGGCAGGGTATCAGGAGATGTTTTCTGCTCTGCTGTTTCCTAGCTGAAGCCCCCCTCATTTCAAGGTGCTGATTCTTTTTCTGTCAGATGATGGGTTGGGGTGACCTGTCTAGACTTTTTTTAGTGACAGTTGCTAGGATTCTGGGGACTTCCTCAACTCCCAGATGGCCTCCCTGTTGTGAATCGCAGAGAAGCTCTTGCTCTTCTCCTTTCTGGAATAGCGTTATGGAGAGTCCTCCCTGCCCCCAGCAGAGTCCACCCTCACTGTCCTTCATCAGCACACACAGGAAATATTTCTTCTTCACAGTCTTTTAAACATGAGCAATTCTACGAAAATGAAGAAGGTGTAGGAGTGGAGAAGGCGTGATACTTTCCCTCCCCATCATAAAAGTCATGGCCAACACTCCTGTAATAAGACAGTTTAACAAGAAAATCATAACATTTATTTAATTCAAGTTTTATGTAACACACAGTCTTGCGAAATGAAGGCTCAAGGACCTAGGGGAATCTGCCCATTTGGATGCTTAAGTTTGATGAGCACAGACAACTGTGGAGAAATGGGATTACCCAAAAGGGTCGGAGGTCATGGAAAAGGATGAGGGGAAACCCAGCAAGGCCAGTCTGCTCAGATTCTTCTTGACCTCTCTGCGTAGAATTCCTTCCATTCATGGATGGATCCTCTGGATTGAAAATCTTCAAGGGAGAAGGGACAGAGTGGCCTTTCTGGATTTTGTCATCACTTTGCAGGAGAAGGGTTCAGGCATTTAGGACTCACCTTGGGGAAGAGGAATTCTGCTTCTGTGACTTGCTTCAGGGGAGCAGGCAGGGTGGGAGACAGGAAGGTGGGAGTAAGTCAGAGACTTTCTGACTGAGGACTTCCAGTCTGTCTTCAGGTGCTCAGATGCAAAAGCACCAGGCTTTGGGGTATTATTTTCTGAGCCCCAGTAAAGGATTGCAGAGGGGAGATGTTGAAACTAAGATCAAGGTCTCCTGCTCCCTCACACTCTTGGTCTTCTTCTGAGCTGCCTTCAGCTGCCTTTGTTCAGTACTCACACTGGTGGCAAGAAGAGACCTACAGAAGGGATGAGACTTACTGAGTAGCCTGCAGTGTACAGAATAGGCCTGAGGTCATGACGGAAAGAAGGAGATGAGCTTCGGTGGCTCTTGACCTGTTGGGGAGTTTAASCAGAACTGGATGATCCTGAGGGGATTTCTTGAATGCACCAGGATTCTCTATTGCAGGAGAAGGAAAAAGAGGATACAACGAGAGCTCTTCATATGCCCGTCCTCTGAGGGCTTTCTCTTGGGAAAGACACATAAATCTAAGCATGTTTGAAGTCCTCAGAGGAAGGAGCAGTTAATCCAGAGCAAAGGAACASGGCAGGCTTCCCGGAAGGGCTTGCCAGCGTCATCTCCCACTCCTCCCAAGCATTGCCTCACCTCTGCTGGGTGCAAGTGCACTGGGATGAATTTAGAAGTTCACGAGCACAGCACCTGCTGGGGAGGTGTAGAGCAGTAGCCAAGTGACCTCAGCCTGGCCCCATGCACTTTGTACCTTTGCATTTTCCTTGGTACTGGGCACTCTCCTTGTACTTGATCTRTAGTGCAGTTGGGCCCTGTGAGCAGCTGTGGCCATGACTACTTCTGCCCCAGACCTGCAGCTTTCGTCCCCAACTGCTGGACGTCTTAATGCTGACCCTGTCCCTGCAGCTACCATGTCCACCCAGAGGCTTCGGAATGAAGACTACCACGACTATAGCTCCACGGACGTGAGCCCTGAGGAGAGCCCGTCGGAAGGCCTGAGCAACTTCTCCCCTGGCTCCTACCAGCGTTTTGGGGAAAGCAGCAGCACAACGTAAGTCCCTGTTACCCTCTTCCCTCCTGGGAAGGAGTCATATTTCTAAGTCTCCTTTGGAGTCATTTCTTCTTGCCCTTTTAGCCAATTCCCCACTGAAACTCAGGGCTCATCGGGGCTGAGTTTGGCCCTCTTTGAGCCTCAGTTTCCCTAGATATAAGAAAAAATGGAGGAAGTCACTCTGAAGCTAAACTGGCTGGGTGGCACCACCACCTCAGTTGGAAAATTCAGAGGAGACTTTTAGGCTCCCGAAGGTTTCYCAGCTACCCCTAGCCTCAGTGGACCTGTGACCTTTCTCAGGGTCCCTGCACCTCATGCTCTGCACCTTCCATTTATCTTCGGGCTGAGCTGTCAGCCTTCCGTTGTTCCCTTGTGGGTTGAGTGAGACTGTGCGGGATCATGCTGTCCCCCATGACTGCACAAGGGGACTGTGGAAGCATGTCTTGGAGCCCCTCACTAGGGTGGCTCCCTCTGCCTGCACCCTGTCCTGGGCAGGGCATATTCTCTTGTGAACTGGCCAGGATCTAGGGGATATGGTCTGTCCACGTGACCTGCCCCTCGCCACCACTGTCTGGTTTCTGCTCACAAGGATTTGTGCTCAGTTCGGTAGCTTATTTCTCAGCCAACATGCTTGTGTAGATTCTCATGTGCTTGTGGTTTTAGCTGATTGAAAGATTGCTTAAAGCACAGCCGGCAGCAGCAAGGACCACCCTTCCTCTTTTCCTTTAACCTTGTCCCCCACTGGCGTTGCCCCGCAGAGGAACTCCACATGCAGCCAGTGGGTCACGCTCGTTATTGTGAAATACCTCTTCCGAGCTTCTCTTCTGTACCTTCCCTCCCAGTTTTTGCTCCTCCTTGTTCTCAGGCTTCAACTTGTCTATGCAGTACTTGCCCTGTAGGGTCTTGTTTTTTGCTTTTATAGAGAAGTCTCTGAAACTCAAAACTAACCAGCCAGCAACCCTAGAATTGGAGCTCAGATGTCTTAGACACACAGAGGTTGATGCATGCCTGCTAGAGATGCTGAATCTCTCTTTTTTTTTTTCCATATTGGGTTATAATTAGTAGTGAATCCAAAATTAATTTCCCTTGTTTTTTGGAAATTGAAAAAAATCAGAAGATGCCTTTCTCGGGCTTGTATCCAGACATTTTCCGGGATGTACTTGATTCTGAGGTTCCCATCCTGCCCTGATATTGTGATACGAGGTAGGTGATCAGGAAGGCCCATCTGTAGGTAATGGCAGGTTTCACTGTCCCGTTGCAGTCGGTCCAGGGAAAGGTGTTCCCCTGGGACTTGAAAGATTGATTTATGTCCAGTCTGGGGCACAGGATCCACACAAACATTTATGTAGGAAACATGGCAGATATATTTTCTAGGTTGATTTGGGGAATCTTGTTAACGCAACCAAATGTCCAGTACTTAGGAAGTGTTAGGGACAAGTTTTTGAGCTAGATTCCACTTCTGTTTGTGCCTTGCCCTACCCTGTTATCTGGTTTGCTAAGGAACAAAGTACATGGATGTACTTCTTAGCCTACAGGTACATTCATGCACACACCTGACTCTTTTAGAAGTTAATAGCTCATTAAAACTCCCTAATTGATAGGTGTAAGTGAAAACCCCCAGACATTTTCATGATGAAGTGTTTGGTGAGACTGTTTCCTATCATTTGATATTTTCAAGCTGTTGACTTTTTGACCAATTGACATTCTTGGGCACATTTTTCTTCTTGTTGCCCTGTTGAGCAGTAGTAATAGCTATTGATCACACCTCTGTGCTTCTTCCCTAGTCTAGCAGACTGAGAACCCAGCTCACTCAAACTGGCTTTTTTCTAGATGTCTGGAGCAGCCATKTGACAGGTGTGGTCTGCAGACCTTTTGGGATTTCCAAGACCATTTCAAGAAGTCTAAGGGGACAGAACCCGCTTCATAATAAGCCTGAGGTGCTGTTTGCCTCTTCTTCACTGTGTTGACTTTTGAACATGATTTAACATGACCATTGACTAATATCACCRCTGATCTCATCAGGGGAGATTATCATTAGTCAATGGTGGGTGAAATCACAGGTGCTGCAGCACAGGTTGATGCAATGGCTCCAATCCTTACTAATTGTTGTTGCAGTTTCACTTACTTAAGAACGTCATTGATGAAACAATCAAATCACCAATTTCATTAAATTATAACCCTTCAGCACGGATCTCTATATGACAAAATGGAAAGCTCACAGGGGAACCACTTCTTCATTCTAAGTATGACACTTACCTTAGGGCAAAGCCTTTGAGTAAGGGTTGGAGTTGTCAACTGAACTAGCTGTTCTCCCCCTTTCCCCATCATAGAACGTCATTTTTATTAGAAAGAACAATTAACTATAGGTTATTTGGATTTGAGTATTTGGCATTTTCTTGACAATGAAAGAAATGAATTCATCAACTCCCCAAAAACAATCAATATTTTTTGCTTACAATAAAATTTGAGCTTTCAAGCAAAATTAGGGAAACAAACCCTTGTGTCCAACACTATGAACTTGACAACTTACCTGTAATCTCCTCTAATGAGATCAGCAGTGATATTAGTCAATGGTCATGTTAAATCAATTAATGTTATTTCTTAATGTTATATAAAGAAATGTGCTAATGTTTGGAAGAKCTGCATAACTCAGGAAACCAATAACTTCTAAATAGCTGAAAATATGATGTTAGCAAATTGTACATGGGTATAAGGTCCATCAAGAGCAAGATCACCAATGGATTTGAATGCAAAAGATCATGAAAAGTTCACATTCTACGTTGCAGTTAATGTCTTAGAAACTATCAGGTGTTTCATTTTGGAGTAGGGTGAAAAGAAAGATTAATTAAAGGGCCTATTAAAATACTCTTTTCCTACTACATATCTAGACAGAACAAATTTCCTTTATATACATCAACCAAAATAATGTATCATAATAGATTGAAAGTAGAAATAGGTAAATCCAGCTATCTTCAGTTAAGTGACATTAATGAAATTTTTTAAAAGAAAAAAATATTATTCTTCTCACATTTTTCTTCTTTTTCATTTGGAGCTAATTTTTCATTTAAAATGTATTATTCACATTTAATGAACTTATTTTAATTAAAATTTTTAAATTTTTGTTTCAACTTTAATATGTATTTTTTAAAATTTTTATTAATTATTGATGGACCTTTATTTATTTATTTGTTTATAWGTGGTGCTGAGAATCGAACCCAGTGCCTCACACATGCTAGGCAAGCACTCTACCACTGAGCCACAACCCCAGCCCCCATATGATATGTCTTAACAGATATAATCCATATAAGCAAAAGCTATTTAAGGTCCTTAATTTATCAGAGAATAAAGAAGTCCTGAGACCAAAAAGTGTTAAGAACTACTGATGGGGCATAAGTGGAACCTCAAGAGATTTGCTAGCCTTCTTCCTTCTCCCACATAATCCACCCTGTAGCTAAGACCTGTCGCCCCTGGTGATGATCTTGTGCTATTCCTATGGTACTGGGTAATCTCTGCTTGCGGTCACCTATTGAATGAAGTAATTTTGRCCACTGGCCTGAAATCCCAGTTGAGGGAACCATTGAGACCATCTTTCCTCGTTCAGTTTCCTCAAACAACAGCCCAGGGAAGGGAAGGGAATTGCCAGGTGGAGGTGACGGCAGAGCTAGGGCCAGAGGGCCTTGGTCTCCCAGTTCAAAGGCATTTTGGGGAGGCCTGTGGTAGGCAGATAGGTTTGGTACAACATTTACCTTTGCACTTTAGTGGATTAAATGTTGCCAAGAAAGAAATTTAATAGACCCATTATCTCCTGGTGACTGGCTGCTGATAATGCAGCTGGACCCTTGAGGCCCTTAGGTTGTTGCTTCAGTGAGGCCAGGAGAGCACTTCACCTCTTCTCAGTTTCCTTGATTCTTCCCAAAAATATTAAGGAGAATTGGAAAATCAAGAAGTTTCTTCCCGGATGTCAAAGGAGAAAGGTTAAAGTAGAATTGCTTTCCAAAGGGTGTAGATGGGTCTTATAAATAGCCTTTATGAGTAACAAGTGCTATTTGCTTTCAGAATTGAAGATTTGAAACATTGCATGTTAAGCATCAGTTTTGAGTGATTTAGTTATTTGTGCAGAAGAATTTCCCAGCAGTGCCAGGGGTCAAATCCTAGTGATTTAGAGCAAAGAAATATACTTCATTTGAACTGTTTTCTATCCTATTTCCTAAAGGTAGCAAAGGATTAAAATGCCAAGACCAGACAACTCTTTTGTCTGTCTCTGATGGGTCCCCCATTCCCTGTAGAAAAAGGGGGAACTCCGTGCCCACTCCTGCCCTCACCTGGACCCGAGCGACTCCTAAGGTGAACTGTTCCATGTACACGGTCCACATTTCTCTCTAGGGTCTTGTTTCCAGGCCCTTCACCCATGGTATCTTCTTCTGCAGTGACCCAGGAACACCTCCTGCCTGTCTGCCAGGTTTGGTTCAGGGCATTCCGCCCCACCAAGCATTACCTGCCTTCTCTGTGGATTCTCTCTCTGGCCTTTCCTTGAGAATCTTTCTACCTCTGGTGGTTATGAATGTGTCCCCTGTTTCCTTTGAGACATTCCTAATTTATGTAGCCTAAGATCCATACCTGATTGACACCTATTTCTACCACTTGAGTTAATACCGTGTTTTATACGTGGTAGATGGTATTTGTTGAGTGGAAAATGAGTGAGGAAATACAGGAGGCTTTTCAATCACGGTCTGGAGAGGGGCACAGTCTGTACACACGGGAGGGGAAATCTACCATTAAGGCAGAAAGGTAACTAGGTGGCTCTCGGAAGAGGGCTCCTCCAATCCTAGGACACTATGGCAATTGCCCTTTTTTTTTTTTTTTTAACTTTTTTATACAAAGTACACTGGGGATTCCAGCCTGCTATGGTATATATAACTTTAACTCTGCTCATGTCTCATAAAGCTTTCTGGTACAAGGTTTGGGTTTCAATTTTTATTTCCTCTATTCTGTTATACCCGTGTCTGTCTGTCATCATTATGTTTTGTCATGCTCTGTTGCCCTACTGGGAGTCCTCACAGTGGTCAGTTCAGTGGTTAGGATAAGACCCCAATACCCATGCCTAGAGAGAGCCCATCATCCCTCTGGCCTAAGAGAGGAGGTTCTGAAGGGCCAGGGTCAGGGGGCTTATAGCAATCGTAAGAGAGTGTACTCGGAGGTCAGAGTGCCTGGGCTGAAATTCTAGCTCGCTCTTTACTAGGTCCATGACCTTGAGCAAGTTGCTTCCTCATCCATMAAATAAAACCTCAGGGTTGTTGCGGAACTCAGAGATCATGCGTGCAGGCAGGTAGTGCAGTGCTCAGTATCTGTTGTGTATCAGCTGTTGTCACGGTTAACATTCCCTTGTCTACCTTCTTCCCTCTTCAGATGGTTCCAGACCTTGATCCACCTGTTAAAAGGCAACATTGGCACAGGACTCCTGGGGCTGCCTTTGGCAGTGAAAAATGCAGGCCTCTTGGTAAGGGTCTGCACCGGTGCAAGGAAGTGTTGTAACAAACTTAGGAAATAGGTTCTGTGGTTGTTGTTGTTGTTGTTTTAAATTCAGCTGAGAGAAATCAATATTCAGACATTCATTCATCTATTGAGGGCCTTCTGTGTGCCAGGCACTGTTCTTGGCTCTTAGACTGTTATCAGTGAATTAATCCGGGCTTGCTTTGTGGTGGTGAAGATGTACTTAAAAATGATTCAGATTGTTTCTATCAATAATATGCACTAATGAGCTAGTGACAGGTATCTGTCCATTTTCTGTACAGTCCCCCAGCCCACCCCATCATTAAGTGGCTTTTGCAGAGAATTGTACATCTTCTTTTTATGATTCACCTCCTTTAGAGTGCCCACCCAAAGCCATTCTGGTTTCAGAGATATTCAGCTAAGTGCTGTCTGTTTGGAGGTGGCGTTGTGCTAATGATAGCTTCCCCTCCCTCACATCCCTTTGCCCAGCTCTTCTTCCCACAGAGTCACAGGAACCTTTGTTCTGCTGGTTTGCAACAGTCTTATCTTGAGTCATTCTTGTCCAGGAGGTTAGCTCTCTGGAAGACGTACTAAGCTTTGCCCATGTCCCAGAGCTGGTCTCCACAATCACATTTCTTGTATGTGGGCCAGAAGGTCTATGCCTGGCAGGTGCCTTAGCTGCGTTTTCATCACTGGCAAATCCTAATTCTCACTGCTTTTCTCTCCTCTTTTGCCTGCAACCCCTGCCCCCAGATGGGTCCTCTCAGCCTGCTGGTGATAGGCATTGTGGCCGTACACTGCATGGGTATCCTGGTGAAATGTGCTCATCACTTCTGCCGCAGGTGAGAGCCCTCTGAGCCATAAATCATTTTTGGTTCTTATATCCTGAAAGTAAGCCCTGTGCAGACAATGCCAACATCTTCACACTCGCCRAGTGTRAAGGCTATTATCTCAGCAGGATCAYGTTCCCTGGTTATTTTTGTAATTATTTTTCTGCTCTGTCATCTGTTAGGTTTACCTGTGGACAGAGGCCACATCCTAACTATATCTGTTTTGTAATGTTTATTGCATTGAAATGGTCCTGCCAGTGGCCGTGAATTAAGTAACTGTCCTCTAGACTTCACACTTCTGATGGTTAGAAGTGTTAAATGCAGGACTCGTAGTGGTGCCTTTCGGGTGGTTGGTGGGGAGTAGGCTCAGGTCTCAGCAGCTCCAGTTGTGCCATCACTGTCATTGACTAACCTCTGCCCTTCCTTTGCCTCTCCCCTCTCCCAGGCTGAACAAACCCTTTGTGGACTATGGGGACACTGTGATGTATGGTCTAGAATCCAGCCCCAGCTCCTGGCTCCGGAACCACGCTCACTGGGGAAGGTAACTGGTTTCCTGTTCCCTTTCAGCTGTGCCCACCCCCCCCCACCCCCCAGTGTGGAGGCCATCAGATAGGGAAGTACTGTGTGGGGAAAGCGTTAGGAATGGAGAGTGTTGTTTGGATTGGCTCTGCAGTTGGTGTGCTCTGTGTCCTGGGACAGCGGGAGCCCTCCCTCACTTCTTCAGGCCTCCACTTCCTCATCTGTAATACRTGAGGCCTGGCCTGAAAGATCTCTGGAGGCCATTCTGGCTTTGACAGTGTGGAATGTCCTGATGTCCATCTGGTGATGATACTCCCTTCACTCACTTTTCAATAAATACATTTGAAGAACTCTCAGTGGCACAAAACAGTTCTTGATTGGGAGGGGAGATTCCCTGGGGTAAATTATATGGTCTCCACCCTCCAGGGGCTTGTGGTCTGTTCAGGGAGAAAGAGCCCAAGAACAAGACAAGAGACCAGTAATGGTGTAAACTGAGAGGAAGAGAGCATAATGAGGTGAGAGACAGCCTGGCGCTCAGGTGGAAGGTTCCCTTGTCTGGCTGGGCCAGAAGAGAGASACCCACAATTAGTGAAAGAAGGAACAAGGTGGGAGACAGGTTTGTGAGGAGGCGGGCAGTGTCTGGAAATCTCCCCTTAGGTGACTGTTCAGGTGCCTGCAGGGTAATATTCTACTTTTTGTTTCCTGGATCTATGGGAATTATTGATACCATCAAGGATTGAATCCTATTTTGTTGTTTATTTGTTTGTTTTTCTTACTTGAACCACATTAAACCTATGTTCTCTAGAAAAGTTCCTTTGGGGGGGTCATAGAGGGAACTTTGATTCACAGTCAGCTTCATCCTGTGATACAGACTGTGTCGTTCTTTTGGCAAAATCATTTTCTGTTGCCTGGGAGAAGCCGGTTGTTAAGTGAGCACACCGTGCATGGGTGCTTGGCTGGTTATCAGTTCTTGCTGCCTTCCTCCTTCCCTCCCTTCCTCCCATCTTCCCTCCCTCATTCCTCACACCCTCCTTTCTTCTAATAAAATGTGTGCTCATAGGAAAAGCATTTTTAAAAAAAGACAGGAGGACATAAAGTGAAAAGCAGAAATAAACCCAGGTCAGAGGTGCATTGGGTATCCTTTTAGATTTTTCTGGGTGTAAACAAACGTTTTTAAAACATTTTTTGTACAAATGGACCAAACAGTATATACTGTTTGGAAACTTGATTTCTCCCCCTTTAATCACCTAGATATTTTTCACTTTTTCAGTGTCAGCACATATAGATTTAACACATTCTAACTGCAAAGCAGTGTCCCATTTAAGAATAGTCAATAACACGATCAATTTCCTTTTTGATAGCCCTTTACATGGTGACCACCATTGGACAATGGTGCTTCAACCAGCAATCTGTTTGGGTCCATTTATTTCTGGCTTGTTTATATGAAATTAGGTTGGCTCTTGGGTCCAAATTATAGGGAGACACTGTAAAGGGGTCCACTTCCCAGCCTTCTCTGTCAAGGGCTCACCATGTGAAGTAGGCTGGGGGTGGGTACAAAGAGGAGCTAAGCAGGGGTCATGGTGCCTGTGTGGTAGAACAGAATGGGAACTTCAGCAGTTTAAGAGCCARCAGGCTGTAGTTTTGCACACTGACCCACGGCAGGTCAGCTTACTGACATTTAACCATAGAAGCCTGCAGCTGCTAACAGGTACCTAGTAGCACAAGCAGGAAACAATGTAGCAGGTACAGAACAATCCGCCTTTAGGCTTAGTGCAGTAAAAGTCCCTAAACTGTATGAGCTAAGAGTCCCTCAGCTATTGACAAGCTTGTACCCAAATAAGTACATAGAATACACCTATTCTCTTGCCTTGGTGCATCCAAAACTTGGTGGTGTATAAAAGTAAAAGCCCTGCTATGCTCCAGGCTCAGACTTTAGGAATTATCCCTCTGGGGTGTGGCACCACTAATAAAATGTTGTTTCCAGATCTTAATGTTCTGACCCTCATTTCCTGCTGTTCTCTGGGTGATTGCCTACCTCATGCAGCATCCTAGAGAAGCCAGGAAGGGGATCTCAGAAAGCACACAGATAGAGTCTTCTCCAAAGCTCTAACTGACATGCTTGTCCTCGTCACCTGCTGGGAAGAGTCTGTGATGACTTAGGAAAAAAGCACTATTGAAAGATTTGTCTGAGAGTCTTCCATTTGTATTTTAATGACCTTTGTATTGCCTCCTTCCCATCCCCAGGCACATCGTGGACTTCTTCCTGATYGTCACACAGCTGGGATTCTGCTGTGTCTATTTTGTGTTTCTTGCTGAGAACTTTAAACAGGTAGGATTCTGGTAAAAAAGAAAGCATATGAAAAGGGATGAGTGGAATTTCTGTTTAGGATTGTTTCCAAGCCGGCTTTGGTCAACTAAAGAGTTGAGGTTTTAACACTTTATGTACAGTGCCCTTTTTTTTTTGATGCTCATGTGAAGACCTGGGATGTAGAGAAACCTCAAGATGTCTTGTTAACCCTTCTGTCTTAGGTAAGATGTGATCACACCCAGTTCAGACAACTGGGTTGCTAGCAACAGTAACATGAAGACTCCATGGAGGGCTTGCAGGCCACAGGTGCCTCTCAGGCCTGGTTCACACTCCTGAGCTCTTAGTGAGAAGCCTCTTCCAGCAGGACAGTCGTCAGCTTTGTGATTGGAGGCCTTTGCCTTTCTCCTTCTTCCCTCTTCTAGGTGATAGAAGCAGCCAACGGGACCACCACCAACTGCCATGACAATGAGACGGTGATTCTGACGCCCACCATGGACTCCAGACTCTACATGCTCTCCTTCCTGCCCTTCCTGGTGCTGCTGGTCTTCATCAGGAACCTCCGCGTCCTGTCCATCTTCTCCCTGTTGGCCAACATCAGCATGCTGGTCAGCCTGATCATGATCTACCAGTACATTGTTCAGGTGTGAGCCCAGGCCTCCCCCATCCTCTTAGAGGGGTAAACAAAACCAGTCAGCAGAACCTACCTAGTTCCATGTGACTTATGTGAGGTATGTTTAGAAGTTTTAAAATTCAGCACTATGGACATTTTGGGCCAGGTAGATTTTGTTATTGTCCTGTGTTGTTGGATATTTAGCAGTATCCCTGGTCTCTACCCTGAAAACGCTAGTGGCTACTACTCCCCCAGTTTGACAACCAAAAGTGTTTCTACATATTGCCAAACACCCTGAGGGGCAAAAATCACCCCCCATTGAAATCTCTGGTTTAGGCTTTTTTCAATTGGATTGTTAATGATCATTATGCACAATTGGAAAATAGTAAAAACATATTAAGATCAAAATAAAAATCAATTTTTCTAATCTGTGCTTAGGTATAAGTAATTCCCTACCATTTATTTGTCAAGATTATAAAGCCACTAGTGTTCATGCCACTCGCTTACCCATGTGGGTGGATCTGTGGGGTGGTTTGGAGAACACTGGAACACAGATGGGGAGAGGATCACATGTAGAAAAACGTGTCTTTAAACACCATGGCAGTTTGTGGAAAAGAAAATGCATTTTGCCAAGATTCGATTAAAGGAAAAGAGTAAAAGTAGGTGAATGAAGCATAACTTAAGATATTTGAATTTAATTTCCCAATTTTTCCCTTTTTTTGATTGGAATGTGGACAGCACAAACCAACCGTCTGAGTACCACCTCTCACCTGAGTCTCCTCTCAGGGATGCCGTCTGTGCCAGTGGTCTGTCTTGTTCTGGATCCTGTGAATGCTTTAAACACTATACAAGCATGTAGGAAATATAACTAACAAAAATTAGGTTTTGTTTTCATTTTTTAAAACAAATTTTTAAAAATTATTGGTAGTGTTTATCTACCAGCCCTCTCAGGCTGGAGCAGCTGGCTCTGCTTCACTGTTTCTCTCTGCTGCCYAGAATCACAGAGAACAGATGGGCCATGGTTTACTTCACCAGTCCCCTACGGGTGGACCATTGGGTCATTTATCACTTATAGTCTTTTTTTGGGGGGGTGGGGGGGAGAGGGGAGTGTCAGGGGTTGAATTCAGGGGCACTCAAACACTGAGCCACATCCCCAGCCCTATTTTGTATTTTGTTTAGAGACAGGGTCTCACTGAGTTGCTTAGCACCTCACCATTGCTGAGGCTGGCTTTGAACTTGTGATCCTCCTGCCTCAGCCTCCTGAGCCACTGGGATTACAGGCCTGCACTACCACGCCCAGCAGCTTCATTTCAGTATTAAGACAGTGAACATTCATTTTTTTATGGACGTGATGAATGATTCTATAAACTACTTACCTAGGGGTGCAATTACTGAGGAACATGTACTTTTTTTTTTTTTCTTGTGGTACTGGAGATGTACCATACCACTGAGCTACATCCCAGAACTTTTTATTTTGAAATAAGGCTTTGCTAAGTTACCCAGGCTGGCCTTTAATTTGTTATTCAAGTTCACATCCCCACAAGTCACTGGGATTACAAGTGTACACTACTATGCCCAGGAAGTGTACACTTYTGAATTTTTATATTGCCAAGTTGCTTCTTCCAGAAGTTGTTGACTGATTTCACATAGAGTCCCCTCCATGCTTCCATGGCATACAAGTGCCTGCTTTGCCCCCCTAGGTGACTCTGGATATGTCAGTCTTGTTAGTTTTGGTCAGTCCGACAGGTGACCATTGCCTCACTTTTCACACAGTGACCCAGTCACCTACTGATGTGGTTCCTAGGAAACCGCTAGACCCTGAAAAGCAGGGGCTGCCTGTACTGAGGGAATGACAGGATGAATTAGATTGACCTTCTTGTCAGTGAGCGTGTACTAGTTTTCTCTTATTGAATGTGTGATTGACCATCTCCATGATCAAGATGTAAATAAACACATAACTTCCCTTAGTAATTAGCTCTCTCTCCATTGTYCATAAGATACTCCAGTGAGGGCTAAAGGCAAAGTGAGGCCACCTCCACAGACAGACACATGCTGCACTGAACCATTGCAGGTGGTTACACACTGRTGGCTGCCAAGGTCAGAGGACTGGGTGAGAATTTGTGTCCCTGTAACATCTCAGTTCCTTCTGACTGCTGGCGTCCACCCTGAGCTGTGTGGACGTGCAATCTGCATGTTGAGGTGAGGCAGCTCTGCCAGTTTCTTGAGATCAGTTCTCAGTCTGTCTGCTAATCCCACAGGGTCTCTGATCAAGCAATGCTCTCTGCCCTAGTTCCCAGGGACAGCTGCTGTCAGCTGTGGTAACAGCACCATTTCCAGGTGGCTCACAGCTACTGGTGCTCCCTGTGCATCATTTTTGATGTTGTTGCTGCTGTTTGTAACTGCTCTTTGGCATTTTGCCCTGTTTACCACATGGATTCCCCTACTCTCAGATGTTTCTGAACTTTCCCCCTAATGCCAAATATGGGTGTGGGGGTGCTAGTTTTGCTCTTTGTGCATGTGCACCATAGGAAGCCAGCCAAGGTCCTCCACCTGAGCAGGCTTCCCTTCCTTCTCATGGGGAAGGATGAGTGGCACAGTTTTGAGTCCAGGCCTTTCCCAGAGGGGCCTCCCAGTGAGTGTGTTATCACTGCATATCCTTCATTCTGTGATATATTCTTGCATGATTATAATGATTCCAGAATTGGAGTACATCTTTGAGTCTGTCTGTACGTTTTATAGCACTTTCTTGAAAAAACTTTCATAAGTATAATTTAAGTATTATTGAATTGAGACATGTTAATAATGATATGATTTTAATTTGCATGTTTCTTGGTAAATGAAACTTTTTCAATTTAGTTGAGTGGGATGTAAGTCAATAACAATCATGAAGTACGTAGAGTTGGACGTTCCTTTTGTTGGTCACATGTGAACCATATCCCCAGACATGATCTGTGAAATTCCCTTTCTGATACCTCAATCTGATCTGACGTATGAACCTGGGCAGTACTTATCCACTAACCAACAGATAGCACCTGTTTCAAGGAACTTAAGTTTCATTTTTGCCTCAGGAGTAATTACAGGGAAATCCCACTCTCCTGCCTCATTATAGAGCAAAAATACCTATTAGTCTGTCTTCATACTAGGTACCAAAACACTTCTTAATAGAAGTCTGACTGACTTCTTAGCAGGAAATAGTCTTTCTTTTCTTTTTCTTTTCTTTTCTTTTCTTTTCTTTTCTTTTCTTTTCTTTTCTTTTCCTTTCTTTTCTTTTCTTTCTTTCATTTTCTTCTGTTGTTTGCTCTCAGAGACTGGGGTATTGTTGTTTTGAAATCTTTCAGAGAGAAGCCTGCCATAGAGATTGCTCATAGACCTTCCTTGGTTCACTTGCTGCTATTCTGTTGCACTGTTAGAGCATGCCCCATATTTATCTAAATACCTATATAGTTGAGAAGGTTTGGACAATTGTCCTGCAAAGGCCCATAGGTTAAAGGCTTGGTCACCAGTCTGTGGCACTATTGGAAGGTGATGGAACCTTAAAGAGATGGGGCCTGGTGGGAAAGTTAGGTCATATGAAGTATGGACTTGAAGGAAGGGGTATTAGCACCTCGGCTCCCCTCTGCCCCCTCCTTCTGAGCCTCTGTGACATGAGCAGCTTTGCTTTACCATGCACTCCCTGCTATGATGTTTTGCCTTACCACAGGCCCAAAAGCAAAGGAATGAACTGACCATGGAATGAATTCTCTGAAAGTATGAGCCAAAAGAAACCTTTCCTCCTTAAAAGTTGATTACCTCGGGTATTTTGTCACAGTGACAGAAAACTGACTAACCCAATAGTTAAAGTGATTGAAAAATATCATTGGCTGAGGTTGTGGCTCACAGGTAGAGTGCTCACCTAGCACATTCGAAGCCCTGGGTTCGATCCTCAGCACCACATAAAAATAAATAAATAAAGATATTGAGTCCAACTACAACTAAAAAATAAATATTTTTTTAAAAAAATCATTGCTATCATTTTCTGTTGCTATCCCAGAATACTAACTAGATAATCTACAAAAAAATAAATGTTTATTTAGCTCATGGTTCTAAAGTCTGGGAAGTTCAAGGAAATGATGCCTTGGACTGTTTGAATAATGGTGGGGGCCTTGTGCCACTTCCTAGTATGGCAGAAAAGCAGAAGGGCAAATCTCCACGTATGAAGAGACAGAAAACAGGAGGCTGCCTGTTTAGAGCAACCTGCTTTCATTGTAACTGATTCAGTCCTTTGACAGCAAGAGTTTATTTATTCCTTCCATTATGAACAGTTTCACAAGAAAGGCATTGATCCTTCTTAACAACCTTTTAAAGGCCCTACTGTCAATACTGCTACAATGGCAGTCAAGTTTCAACTGAGCTTCAGAGGGGACAAGCCATGTTCAAACCTAAGTAATGTATGCACTTGGTTGAAAAGCCCAATTCTAAAAGGGYAGCAACTTCTGAGTCCCCACCCATCCCCCACTTCTTTGACACAGTCCATTACCAATAGCTGGTCATGGGTGAGCCAAATAGGACTCTGGGACCATCCCTCCCTGCTAGGAACATTATGCCTATACTTAATAATTGCTTTTTTAAAAAAACTTGCCTGTTTATTTTTAATATTCTTTTTGCTGTTCCCCTGTGTTTTTCGACACTCTTGTCTTATACTTACTCATATGTTCAAAATGCTCAATTTCATTAACAATTTTTAAAAAAGAAAAAAGGAAAGGGGCCAATCTAAAAATTGACCCCCTTCCCTTCATATTTATCTATATGGGGTGCTTATATAGGCCCATCATAGTGATTATACAAATATTTAAAAAATGTTTCTATTGCATAAAGAGTCTTTATTTACTACTAATCATCTCAATTTTTACTTTTTAAATAGTATRTAATCTGTGATACAGTTAGTATATGGGTCATTACTCAACTGAGCAATTGGGATTCTTTAAAGTGGTTTTTGGCAGTTACTTTGCTAAATAGCTATGCTCAACTGTTTTCATCTTTTGATTTTCTTTTCTTCATGCATTAAATTTCTAGGGATAGGATTACCCAGTGAAAGAATGTGACTCTCTTTATGCAAGCCCCAGCATTTCAATGTCTTATGGTACATTGAACTAGTCATCCCCCAAAGCAATTTAGGGTTTTCCCAGCTTGAAGAGAAAAAAATACAACTGGGCTAAATGTCCCCAAATCGTCTGTCAGATATCAGGCTTTCTCCCTTTGGAGAATCTTGAATTTCAGAAAAGGCCTGACTTCTCTGATTTGTAGTTCAAATCTTCAATCTCTGTTGTATAGCCTTTTGCTTTGTTTGTTTATCTCTTTCAGAAAATCCCTGACCCCAGAAACCTTCCCTTGGTGGCATCCTGGAAAACCTACCCTCTCTTCTTTGGCACGGCCATCTTTGCATTTGAAGGCATCGGAATGGTAAGAGTTGTGCTGTGGTTGGGCCTGAGGGTTCCCTGTTGAGCTTGGTGACCTCATGTCTGCTTTAAAGCTGAGGAAATGCTGTAGAAATTATCTTCTGAGACTTACTGGCCAGTTCGTGAATAATGTTCCAARGATTCCCTGGAACTTGCAAGCTCCAACTTTTGAAGGTAAATTGTTATGTGAGTTTTAAATGTCTGTATTGAAAACTCCTCATTGCATGATCATCTCTTACGTGCACAGTACGCAATAGGCAATCAGGACTGCTGGACCTGGAATCAGCCTGATTTGGGAGTAGGTTCCAGCTTCACCAGAGTAATTATGTATGAAAATGTCACACAGAAATCCATTATTTTGTGCCATTAGCAGTAATAATTATAATAAAAAATAAGGGGGAAAAGAATAATTTTGTGACTTTGTGCAGAGACTCAACTTCTCTGAGTCTCCACCGTTAGCCCCTGAAAAGTGAGCATAATGATTAATAGTATTGGGATTAAATGAGGTATGGGTTCACACTCCTCTCACCACTAGTTAGGTCATCCAGACATAAACTCAGTAAAAATTCCTTAGACCTATAAAATATTATAAATCAACTGGACTTTACACACATCGATAGAATATTTCCTCCAACAACACCTGAATATACTTTCTTCTCAGCAGCTCATGGAACCATCTCCAAAATTGATTATATTTTAGTTTACAAGGCAACTCTTAGCAAGTACAAAAATATTGATGTAATTCTTTGTATCTTATTGGGTCATAATAGGATGGAATTAGAAATTAACACCTAAATAAATAAATAAACCTATAGAAACTATATAAACATGTGAAAGACTATAATACACTTTTGAATGATGAATGGCTAATAGAAGAAGTCAGAGAAATTTTAAAAATCCTTAGACACAAATAAGAATAATGATACTATGTAGCAGAACCTCTGGGACAATATGAAAGCAGTTCTAAGAAAAAAGTTTTAGCTATGAATGTCTACATAAGAAAATCAGAAATGTTCCAAATAAACAACCTAATGATACATCTCAAGGCTCTTGAAAAAGAAAAACAAACCAATTCCAAAAACAGGAGAAGAAAAGAATTAATTAAGATCAGAGCCTAAATCAATGAGCTTGAGAATTTTTTTAAAAATACAGTATCATGAATCTAACATAATTTCCAAGTACATACATGAAAATACCTAAGTGAATCTCACCATCATGTAAACCCACAAGACTGGGATCCTAATTAGAATGAGATATTCCATGCTTGTATGATTATATCATAATGGATTCTACTGTAAATGTATAACTAAAAAGAGCCAATAAAAAAATTACAAAGGATCAATGAATCAAACACTTGGTCCTTTGAAAAGAAAAAAAAAGATTAATAAATCATTAACCAAACTAAATGAAAGAAAAACAAAGAGCCAAAGTAATAAAATTAGAGGTGAAAAATGATAAATCACTAYAGACATCACAGAAATCCAGAGGATAATTAGGAATGATTTTGAAAACTTATACTCCAGTAAATTGGAAACCTTAGAAGAAATGGATACATCTCTAGACACAAACCATAATGAATCAAGAGAATATAGGCAACCTAAAYAGACCAATAGCTTGTAATGAGACAGAAGCAGTAATAAAAAGCCTTCCAACAAAGAAAAGCCCAGGACCACATGAATTCTCAGCTGAATTCTACAAGACTTTTAAAGAAGAACTCATGCCAATACTGTTAAAATTATTTCATGAAATAAATATGGATGGAATACTTCCAAATTCATTCTGTGACACCAATATTATACTCATACCCAAACCAGATAGGGACACATCAAGGAAAGAAAACCATATCCTTGGTGAACTTAGATGCAAAAATACTTAAAATATTAACAAATCATTTTCAACAACATATTAAGCAGATTGTACATCATGACCAATTTTACCCTAGAGATGCAAGAATGGCTTTACATATGCAAATCAATAAGTGTTATTCATCACATAAGTAGAATTAAGGACAAAAATCATTTATACATCTCAATAGATGCAGAGACAACCCTGGACAAAATTCAGCTCTCATTCATGATAAAAACACTGATGAAACTAGGGATAAAAGAACCTACCTCAACATCATAAAGGCTATATCTGAAAAAAACCAAAGCCAACCTCATAGTAAATCAGGAAAAACTGAAAGCATTTCCTTTGAAATCTGGAACAAGACAAAGATATTAACTCTCACCACTCCTATTTAATATAATGCTAGAAATTCTAGCCAGAACAATTAGGCAAGAGGAGGAAATAAAAGGGATAAAAATAGAAAGAGAAGAAGTCAAATTATCATTGTTTGTAGATCATATAATCCTATACGTAGAAGATTCAAAACCTCCACCAAAAGACTTCTAGAACTAATGAATTTTGCAAAGTAGAATGTTACAAAATCAACATATAAAAATCAATAGCTTATACCACAAATGAATCTGCAGAGAAAGAAATCAAGAAAACAATAAATCTAACTAAGGAGTTGAAAGACCTCTGCAATGAAAATCATAGAACATTCAAGAGGGAAACTGAAGACCTCAGAAGATGGAAAGATCTCCCATGTTCATGGACAGGTATAATTAATATTGTTGAAATGGCCATACTACCAAAAGCAATATACAGATTCCATGCAATCATCATAAAAATGTGAGTGACATTCTTCACAGAACTAGAAAAAAAAAACAGTCCTAAAATATATTTGGAAGAAAAAAAGAATTGTAAGAATTCTAAACCAAAACAGCAATACTGAGGCATCATAATACCCGACTTCAAATCATAATACAGAACTATGGTAACAAAAACTGCATGGTACTGACTGAAAAACAGACACATAGACCAGTGGTACAGAATAGAAGACACAGAGACATGAGAGAATGAATCTACACCCTTATCTCTCATCCTGCATAAAATTCAACTCAAAATGGATCAAGGACATAGGAATTAGACCAGAAACTATGCAACTCCTAGAAGAAAACCTAGGGTAAACACTACAGCATTATAGGCACAGACAATGACTTTTTCAGTTGGACCCCTACCTAAAGGTCAAGAGTTAATAAATGGGATGGCATCAAATTAAAAAGCTTCTGCACATCAAAGGAAACAATTAGCAATGTGAAAAGAGAACCTAAAAAATGACAAAATCATGGAATTTGCAGGGAAATGGATGGCACTAGAGCAGATTATGCTAAGTGAAGCTAGCCAGTCCCTAAAAAACAAATGCCAAATGTCATCTTTGATATAAGGAGAGCAACTAAGAACAGAATAGGGAGGAAGAGCATGAGAAGAAGATTAACATTAAACAGGGTCAAGAGGGGGGAAGAGAAAGAGAGAGAGAAGGGAAATTGCATGGTAAAGGAAGGAGACCCTCATTGTTATACAAAATTACATATAAGAGGAAGTGAGGGGAAAGGGGAAAAAAACAAGAGAGAGAAATGAGTTACAGTAGATGGTGTAGAGAGAGAAGATGGGAGGGGAGGGGAGGGGAAGGGGGATAGTAGAGGATAGGAAGGGCAGCAGAATACAACAGACACTAGTATGGCAGTATGTAAAAAAGTGGATGTGTAACCAACCGATGTGAATCTGCAATATGTATATGGGGTAAAAATGGGAGTTCATAATCTGCTTGAATCAAATGTATGAAATATGATATGTCAAGAGCTTTGTAATGTTTTGAACAACTAATAATAAAAAAATAAATGTTAAAAAAAAGAAAAGAGAACCTATAGGATGGGAGAAAATTTTTGCTACCTACTCTTCTGACAGAGGATTAATATCTAGAAAATATAAAGAATTCAATAGACTTAACACCAAAAAAAAAAAAAAGAAAGAAACCCTCAATTAATGGACAAATGAACTAAACACACTTTCAAAAGAAGAAATGCAAATGGTCAACAAATATATTTTAAAAAGTTCAACTTTTTTAGCAATTAGACTTYGTTAGCAGTTAGAGAAGTGTAAATCAAAACTATACTGAGATTTCACACCAATCAGAATGGTAGTCATCAAGAATACAAATAATAATAAATGCTGGAGAGGATGTCAAGAAAAAGGAACACTTTTATTCTGTTGGTGAGATTGTAAGTTAGTACAACCACTATGGAAATCAGTATGGAGGTTCCTCAAGAGACAAGGCTTGGAATCACCATATGACCCAGCTATACCACTCCTTGGTGTTTATACTGAAGAAATAAAGTCATCACACTACAGTAATCCATGCGTACCCATCTGTATAGCAGCACAATTCATAGTAATTTAACCATGGAATCAGGCAAGGTGTACATCAACRGATGAATGATAAAGAAAGTGTGGTATATGAACACAATTCAGCCATGAAGAAAGATGAAATTATGTCATTTTCAGGAAAATGGATGGAAGTAGAGACCATATGTTGAGTGAAATAAGCCGAACTCAGAAGGTCACGTGCCAAATGCTTTCTTTCACATGTGGAAGCCAGGGAGGGAAAAGGAAAAGAAAAGTGGTGGTGGTGGGGGTGGGGCAGGGGTGATGATCTCATGAAAATCAAAGGAAGATCAGTAGAAGGACTGGGGGCAGGGGAGTTTTGAGGAGTGATATTGGCCCAAGTGTATTGTTATACTGTGTGCATATACAAATATGTAATAATAAATCTCATCGTTATGTACAATTATAATGCACTGATAAAAATGGAAAGGAAAAATAACTGCACTGTGATTCTGTTTTACTCCAGTAAGAATGGCAACCATCAAAAACACAAATRACAATAAATGCTGACAGGGAAGCAGGGAGAAGGGAACACTTACACCCTGTCCATGTGGATGTAAATCAGTATGGCCACTGTGGAAATCAGTATCAGGGTTTTCAAAAAAACTAAAGAACTTTATGATTCAGCTCTACCAATCCTCGGTATCTATCCGAAAGATAAAGACAGTACTTTAAAGTTCACATGGCATCTCATGTTTATAGCAGCACAATTCACAATAGCCAAGTTGTGGAACCATCCAGATGGATGGATAAAGAAGTTGTATTCGTCCATAAAGGATGAAATCATATCATTTTCAGGAAAATCAATGGAACTTGATAGCATTATTTCAAGTGGAATAATCCAGACTCAAAAATACAAGTGTTGTGTGTTTTCTGTCATGGGGAAGCTAGAGAGAAAAAAGGGAACAAAGGGTCTCACGAAGATAGAGGGGAAACTCTTAGGAAGAGAAAGGGGATCATGAGGAAGGAGGGGTGGACCAGGGGAGGTACTGGGGAGTGGAATTGGTCAAATTATGTCATATGCATGTCCAAATAGTTGAGACCCTAAATAATTAATATGCACTAAGAAATTTTAATGAGATATGTTTTCAGTGCTTTGTATAGTCCCTGACATGATAATAACCATTCAATAAATTTTTATTGTACCAACAATATTGAATCAATAAATCTATGAATAAGTCACCTGCCCAGGCACATTGGTGCAGTGTATTTTCTATGTGCAAATGAGTAAGTAGTCTTCACTCATGGCCCACCTCCTCCTGTCATTGCTATGGTTTTACCAGATTTCTTTACCTAAAGTCGATCTGTCACTCAGCTGTACCTAATTTGATATTTATTTGTATTTTTCATAATAAAGGCCCAGGATTCCTCTCTGAAGTTAACTTATGAGCTCTACTGACCAAGGCATCAAAAATGAGAAGACACTTCCCCTTTCTAGCATTCCTTTCCCTCCAATTTGATATCCCTTTCACTTATTCACTTTAAAAAAAAATATAGAGAAGCCATTTTTTTTAAGTCAAAATACTGAGGACTCRCCCCAGCAGTTTTGATGGAATGTATTTAAGGATCTGACCCAGGGGGAGACTGTGAGTGACTGTGTGTAAAACACAATTGTCCTAAAGTTTTAAACCTTCCCCTGTTGCTCTTTCCTGGGGCCCCGGAGGACTTTCTCACCTTGATTCAGGAACATGAATGCTTTCCAGCTGCTGCTCAGAGCCCCGAGTGGGCCCATATTTTAGCAGTGTAAAAGTGGCCCCAAGAACTCAGGACTTGAAAGGAGAGTTTGAGAGCATATGGAAAGATGCCCAGGGTCAGTGGGTTCTTAAGGAATGTGCTACCAAATTTTAATCAGTTTTCCTAGCAGCACAGTGTAGAGACTGTTCTTTGCTTCATATCATTAGCCACAGCTTGGTTACAGAATCACTCTGGAGACATCATTATCCCACACTTCAAGATTACTTTGTATTTTCCATYGTTGGAGAGCTAACACTGCTATTTGGGCTCTTTGTCCTGGATTGAAGGGTTGCTCAGGGTGGCAAGTAAAGCACCTGTGTGTTCAGTATGTTTMATGACTGTCCCAGGCCTGATGGTTCCCTGCCCAGAGGCTCTTGGTACTCTGGCATGAAGGAAAATAACACACAAGTTGGGAAGCTGTTTCAAATTGGATGTGGATTAGCTGGGGCTTGAGATGCTGCAGCTGGCCATGGGGATGCCAAGGCCAGAAGGGTGCAGAGCTGCAGCATGGGGCCTGAGCAGTGGTGTCAGGTGTAGACAGCACAGACTTATTATGCCTCATGGCCACGGGCACTGCAGGAAAATGAGCATCGTGACAAGGTCAGAGGTAGCTCGTGGGGCAGTTGGTCATTGCCCACACTGATTTTCCCCATCATGGCGCCAGACCTAGTTGGTAGCAGGTTGTGAAGATGTCACATCGTACCTGCTACCCTCCATCCCCTCAGTTCCTAAATGAGGTCTCCCTCCTAAGGAGCCTTTGCTTCTCCCAGGGTTAAAGAACATACCCTGATGGGACCAAGGAGGCAGCGAGCATCAATGGTTTGAAACAGGAACCTGGAAACTGGGCCCAGATAAGTACCCAAGTCTCAAGATCCTCTGTTGGTCAAGCTGTGTCCAACATCTCAGCTCCTTTAACTTGGAGGCTTAAGTTGTCACCACTGTCCCTGCCCCTGTTGAGGTAGGGAATTTGTTGCTGAGAACTACCCTGGCCATTTTCTTTGACCTGTGATTCACCTTTTGAGACAGGTTAGCAAGAAGCTGTGATGTCAGTCAGGTAAGGGGGGCTGCTGGGGACCACACTTGCACTCAGGGGAATGGTCCTCCCTGCCTGAGGGGTCCTGCTGCAGGACAACAGAGCTGGCCTGGTTCTTTTCCTACCCACCTTTACCTCTCAGGACTTCTATGAAGACGATGGAGCCTCTTGTAGTCCAAAGAGTGTAACTTACGAAGAAATCACTTTGGTTGAGTTGTCTGTCTAGTAAAGGATAGTTGGGCTTTTAGGGAATTCTGGGGACAAAGAACTTCCTTTTTTCTGATGATAATATTTTTGTTGGTTGTTAATTTTACTTTTTCCTGTGCTTTCTCTCTTCTCTTACTATTGTCTCATAGGTGCTGCCTCTTGAAAACAAAATGAAGGATCCTCAGAAATTTCCACTCATCCTATACTTGGGGATGGGCATCGTCACCGGCCTCTACATCACCCTGGGATGCCTCGGGTACCTGCAATTTGGAGCTGATATCCAAGGCAGCATCACCCTCAACCTGCCCAACTGCTGGTATGTGGCAGGGGATGGAAACCTGGAAGCACAAGATGTTTTATAAAATTAGTGSATCAGAAGGTGTGTTTTTCCTCTTATCTCTTAAATCAGTCTTGGTTGAATACATCGCTCCTTGGCTGAGCTGAATGCATGATTATTTGGGTGAGTCATTCCTATGGAGACTTATACAAATCCATGTGTTGATCAGCTGATTGACAAGTCATTTCTCCTAGGAAATCCTGAACCTAGAAGGACCAAGCCTCCATCCTGTTTACCTTAAGCAAAAGAGGAGGGCCAGTCTGTTTCACTACTGGCTTCTGCCATGCCTCCATGTGGGAGAATCTTGCTATGGACCCTGGTTTCCTGGAGACTTTTCATCTTTCATTAGTGGATGTATTGTAGAAAAACACTGAGACATATTTAAATGCTTAGATGTCACAGCGTGTGTGCTGAGCAGTAATTCTGTTTGGAAGATGAAAATCTTGTTATGGAAAACAGCTGCTTGTAGACTCTGAGAAGCTTGTTAGGGCCCCAAGGAATAAAACTAACCTTTCAGTCCAGCCTGCCTGATCTGCCTCTGTGTGCATATTGCAACTCTGATTGGTAAGACTTTGGACAAGAACAGATGGAGAAAATATCTGCTCAGTAGCATTAGCATGTAACACAGGATGCCCTTAGAAGTCTGAGGATTAAGTATGTTACACAGCTAGCCGAATAGTAGCTGGGCAATGGGCCATTGTTTTCAGAAAGTCTTTCTTTTTCTATTCCTCTTTTAAATTTCCAATGTGCCTGTGCTTTCAATAGAGAAGAGTCAGGTGGTAGCTTGACGTAACCATGTCACCTTTCCCTGGGAAACAAGAAGATCAGGATCAGCAGAAGCAGCCAGATCACCTGAAACCTCTGGGAACACCTGTCAGTGTTCATTTTCCCTTTGACACCCAAACCCAGCTGCTGTCATCTCTCCACCCACCCTGGGTTGATGCATGTAGCTTTCCCTGCATGGGACTCTCCTGACTCCAGACTTTGCGTCTCTGGGGGCTTTCATGCTGCTTTGAGTTTAGCTATAGAGCCACCAGCTGATTTTTCTAAGAAATTGTATTACCCTGGAGCAAGTGAGACTTTTTCTAAATTCAGTCTCTCCCCAGGGGTTCTCCCACTCATAGCATAGAACGTCATCTAGGTGTTCAGTCCAACACATAATTTATGAGCACATTTAGCTAGATCCCCAACAGGGGAGGCCAAATGCCTGTCCCTGCTTAACACCTGACAGTATTGTTGAAAGTGGAGCTTTGCTCAGGGCAGAGCGCCCTTCCCTTGAATGATTGAAACAGAGCCATAAGCACTTTCTTCTACCCTGCATGATAGGGCCCTGGGGTTTTAAGTTGGGGGATATCCCATGGTGAGTTAATGGTCTCCGCAGGCAGCTGCTTGTAAAGACATGGTAGAAAGGTAGCCAGGGTGGGGTGGAAACRATTCTGCGCCTGCCTGTAGATCCCTGTATGGTCACTATTTGATTCTAGGGAGCACTGAACTGGGTGGGAAGGATATAAATAGGCTTATTATATTTTAAGTCATTTTTATTTYTGGAAGGATATATGTCTGTCTGTCTGCATGGTGAAGGTTACAAATGTGCAAAATGTATATAAAGAATGTTAAGTTTTACCACCCCCATCCCTAGAAGCCGGTGCTATAATTTCAGCGACAGCCATACTCCACCCTCTTGTGTTTTCTTCCAGGTGTTTAGTGTCCCTGAGAATGTCCCAGGGTGTGGCTCTTGGTGGGGTTCTCCTTTTCTTTTTCTGGAACAAATTATAGCGCTTGGTAGACACCGGACTGCATCAAGTTGTTCTCCCTCAGTAGCACACAGTGGAGATAGTTCCGCATCAGCACCTGGAGCACTGCCTTATACTTTTTAAATGCTTCATGGGGCCAAGTTATTTAACCAGTTCTTCAATGATTAACATTCAGTCGTTTTCAGTTTTTTCATTCTTAAATAACATTGCTGTGCCATATTTTGAATGCACCTTTTGTGCACACGTTACAAGTGCCTTTGTGAGATAAATCCCTAGGTGTGAAATTGCTGGGCCTAAAGGACGTGTGTGTGTGTGTGTGTGTGTGTGTGTGTCTGTCTGTCCTGAACAGGTGTCCCCAGGTTGCCGTGGGACTCTTTTGTCATCCCTCTGATGATGTCTAGGCGTGCTGAGCAGGCTTCTGAAGGTACACCGCTCCCTCTGCAGGTTGTACCAGTCTGTTAAGCTGCTCTACTCCATTGGCATCTTCTTCACCTACGCGCTCCAGTTCTACGTTCCGGCTGAGATCATCATCCCCTTCTTTGTGTCCCGAGCGCCTGAGCACTGCGAGTTGGTGGTGGACCTGTTCGTGCGCACGGTGATGGTCTGCCTGACGTGTGAGTAGAAGGAAAGATAACTGCTTGTTTTTCCCAGAGGGTTACATGGGGGAAGAGGGTGTGTGTATTGTCGTGAGGCCACCTGAACCGTGGGCAGAATACCCGGCACACACCTCACTCGGAGTCGGGGCACATCCAGATGGTGAGGGGGGTGGTCTTAGTGTGTGCTCTCAAGGACTCTGGAATGAGGACAGTTGTTTACAGATGTGGAATGAAATGCTGCAGGGACGGTAGTAACTCTGTAAAGACATGTCATCACTCTTCCACATAAACTAGGGTAAATATCCAAGAGACGGCCACTTGGCCCACATCCATGATGAGTTTCTCATCTACACAGAAGGTGCATGCTTATTTTTTCTCATAGTTGTTCGTTCTGAGCTGGGATTATACAATTCTGGGCATTTTTGAATGTCAGTTTCTTAGACAATGTGTATCCATTAATTTAGTTGTTTTATTCCCCTTCCCCTGTGATAAGGGGTATGATTTAAAGATGATATCCCCTTATTTGCTGTTAGTTGAAAACTGAGTAAATTTAAAACAATAAAAAAATTTTTTTGTAACTTCTGTGAATTGATAGGCTATGGAACCCCTGAACAAATTGGTCCATAATATCTAACTTAAATTTCTAGGAGATTTGCCATTGTTTTCTAAATTAAAATGCTTAAAGCATTAATTTATCTTTTTTGGCTATATATGGCTTTTTTTCTTGTTTTATTGGGACAAGAACATTTTTGTATATTATATTGGGAATTCTCTTAAATTATTCAGTCGGGTTCTTTGTCTTTGAAATAAGGATAGGTCTGTATGATGTTTTAGGTGCCATAGTTGAATGTTTTAGAGATGAAAGACGTGAATGTTGTCTAGCATTTGACTTGATTGGTGGTCTATTACCAAGGGAAAGCCAAGCAAGAGGCTATCTATTCCGTTCATCTACCCATGCAGATGTGAAGACTGGATTTATATGTATCCCATAATGAATTCTTCGGGCCACCTGCAGACCCTGCCATTGTTGTACTTCAAAGACAGAGGGTGGAAGCCTAGCATCCTAAATCTCTGTGTGGAAAGAACTCTCTAGGACTAAGAAGGTGAAGGCCTTTGCCTGATCTTCTGATTTAATCATGGGCAGCTCTCCTTAGGATTTCTTGCAGAGTAGGTCTAGGTAGGAGCAGGGCAGAGGGTGGATAACTTGGACTCGCCAGCCCTACAGAGCATTCAGGAACCTGGCTTCTGCTCTGCCTCTTATCTGGCAGACTCCAGGACATCTCCCAGAGCAGTGTCTGGGAACAGCTACTCCAGGGCACAGAGCCACTGACGTGTCTTGCTTTTCCAGCTGTTGCCCGAACGGGTGATGGTAAGATAGTCAGCTTGCATGTGGGTTTCAATCCTGGCTTCTGCCAGCAGCTCTTGTGCTTTGATTTAGATGTATAGGGTTTTTTTCCCATGGATGGAGGAGCTTCAGATGTTGAGGAGACACATTCCATGTATGCAGAAACTTCTAATATCAGCTCTGAAGGCCTGATTCTTAAATATAAAGGGTGTTGGGAAAAAAAGATGGGAATAGTTGAAATCACTTGCCTTTTTTCAAAGTGGTTCCTGTAGAAGAAGTAGGTCTGTCTATGTAAAATGTGCTATAACTGACCACGCAGCTCCTTCCCCCTGCCCTGGAGGGCCAGGTGGTGATACTGGCCCAGATTCCCACCCCCCCCACACACACACACACTGTCCCACTTTCTTCTCAAGCCTGGCTTGTCCTCCCCAAACCTGGGTCTGGCTCCCCACCAGGTTTGTTTCCACCGCACCCTGCAGGAGGCAGGAGTCCTGATTCCTAGGCCTCCTGCAGTCCTCAGATGACTCCTGGGTTTTCGTTCTACTTGTCCCTGCTCTGTGTGGCTCCCCTCCCCTTCACAGAACAATGCTCAAAGGCCACAGGCTGCATTTGATCTTGGAGTGCCCACCCTCTTTGCCCTCCTCCTGTGATCTGCTGTGATTAGCCGGGCACTGTCATCCTTTTAAAGCAGGCAGCCCAGCAGAGCCCAGAGCACTCCGGCTTCTCTTACCTTCCCTGGAGACTTTGAAGTAATTGTGGGAATTGGTAGAGGCCTTTCCCGTTGATGAGAGCTCCTTTTGTTCTTGCTTCTCAGTTCTTTCAGATCTGCTGGCACAGGCTGACTGGTAGAGGATCTTAGGTCTTTGATGTAACTGATTGTTTTCAATTATAACCAGGCCTTTAAGTGGCAGCTTATTTTCTTGCCATCTGTGGTGTTTCCCAGAATTTTCCCAATTTTTCCTCCTTTACCTCATCCTCCTTTTCCCAGGGGTCCTGGTGAAGGAGAAATTCTTCCTTTGGGCAGAGGGGAATTTGGTCCAACTGTAAGTGTTAAAAGTAGTCATGACTGTTCATCCTTGTGGGGTGGGGGGATGTGATGAGAAAGTTGAACTCCAAGGCCAGAAATGCAGATTCAGCGGGTCACCTTATGTCCAGAGCACCTGGGAGTCTGGAGGTGAAGGAGAAATTCTTCCTTTGGATCCCTCAGGCATCCTATACTTGGTCTGAAATCTCAGTGGCATTTGCCATGTGAAAGATCTTACTTCAGTTAGGGATGAGAATTTCAGAAACCTACCATTGAAGATGTATAACATAAAACGATATCAGTTATGARGCCTGCTCAGCCTGAGACCCACAGCCACAAAACATCCCAGGCAGGGAGACCTTCCAAAGCACATAGTGTCTAGGTGCAGAGTGGCTTCTCGAGGTCTTTGGCCTTTCACACTTCACCGTCTTGCAGCTACAGTGAAGAAGGGCATCTTGAATGAGCTGTGCAGCTGTGGGGAACCTCCCAGGGCCCCTCATGGAGGCCGCAGATTCCTCATCTGTGAGATAGGAAGAGGTCTGATCTCTGAGGTCTCTCTCAACTCCAAGTTCTGTGGTTCTCTATAGTAGTTTATGCTTGACTTAATTAAATTTCCACAAAAAAAAACATTGCTCTAAAAAATGAAAGTTAATATAAAGCCATTTGAAGGGAAAAAAGTTCTCAATATACCACTGGCTTAACAAAAATGATTTTTATTTTGCACTTTATCTGGTTTGTCTTAACCCTCACAGGTACATGGTAAAAATAGTTGTAATCATAGTGCACACATAACGGTTTTTCCCATTTTGTTTAATATTATATCATGAATATGCATGCTCTTTATATTTTCATGACTTTACTATATATTCCATTCTTTTTAAATTTTTTTAAATTTTTTTATTGGTTGCTGAAAACATTACAATGATCTTGACATACCATATTTCATACATTTGAATCAAGTGGGTTGTGAACTCCCATTTTTACCACGTGTACAGATTGCAGTCACATTGGTTACACATCCATGTTTATACATACTGCCATACTAGTGTCTGCTGTATTCTGCTGCCTTTCCTATCCCCTACTATCCCCCCTCTCCTCCCCTCCCCTCCCATCTTCTCTCTCTACCCCATCTACTGTAATCCATTTCTCTCTCTTGTTTTTTTTTTTCCCTTTCCCCTCACATCC